TTTACCAAAAACACCCTAAATCAATATAACTCTAGCGAAAGAGAGTTCAGAAAGAGGAGCTAGAGTAGTAAATGTAGAGTGAGATAAAGATGTTGACAGGTATTTATAGTTTTGGAGTATTGGAGTGTGGTCACGTGGTGTGATCTTATTGGTCCAAGTTTCATTTATCTAACAGTTAGGCCTTAAACCAAAACCTTAATATTGAAATTTTATAAGTCTTGAAAGCCCCCCTTTTTTTTCTGAGGAAAATAATTATCTTGTATTAAATTAAAGAGATCGATAAAGCAAATACAATATAACTTTCCCACATTTAGAAGCAATTTAGTAGTCTATAATTCTCTTGTACTACAACAAATATATCATCTAAAGTATAAAGTAACTTGAAAAATATAATAAACTAGAAAAGATGGTTAAATAACTATATGTAAGTACCTAGCTATCCCCTTACCTTTCAGATGTTAGTTACATTGCTTCAGCCATGGTTTTAGAACCCGGTTTGGCTCAATCCGGTTGAACCGGTTCAATTGGACCCGAGCATAAAAACGGGCTGGTTTCATACATTGTCCCGTTTTGAAGGTTAACTCGTTCAAACCCAGTTAACTCGTTCAAACCCATTTAACTCGTTAAACCTGGCCCAAATACCCAGCCTGTTCCACCCGCTGGTTGAACTTGCCATCTACTTTTCTAACTTTTTTTTTTATATTTTTGATGTGATTTACCTATTTTATCCTCTCTTTTTAATGATATTACATAAAAAAACCTTAACTTTACACTTAAATTAAATTAAAAACCCTAATAAGTAAGGACTATTATGTAAAAACAACATGGGAAAAGCAAAATTAGAATGCAGGAACAGAAGCAGAAGTGCAGAACTGTAATCGAGCCATCGGCATCCCTCTCCCTGATCCCTGCTCCATCTCCGTGAGTCCGTCGGCATCTCCATCGCCGAATAGAAGCAGCAAAGCACTTAATCTTCTTGCTCCACTTCCATCGGCCTCATCTCTTTCGCTGAACTGAACATCAGCAATAGAGTATCCTAATCTCCTTGCATCTCCACCAGCAGCTCAGCACCTTTCCTCCGTGGGCAGCATCCTGACAAAGCTCACAGCTTCACGCCTCTGCCACTCATCTTCCACTCCTTTACCGGCCCAAACAAAAGCAGTAAAGCATAACAGATCGTCCTTGATTTTGCTCACATCGCCACCTGATTTTGCTCACACCGCCACCACTCATCTTCCTCTCCTTCACCAAACCAAAAAGAAGCAGTAAAGGAAATAGATCGTCCCAACAGAGGCAGTTCGTGACTCATTCTCTCCTCTTGGGCATTTGATTTAAGTGAGATGTTTAGCTTTTACCTTGAAATTCATTCTCAAATTCACATGTTTTACAAGTTTATTAATTGTTAATAGAAATTAATTCTTTATTAATTAGTATTGGTGTAAGGTTTAGAAAAATTATGTATGAAACTATGAATATCAATATTGGATGCTTAATTTTATTTTTTTTTAATTTGTTATGCCATGATTTTAAATTCTAATGCAGCGTCTTTAATTTAAATAAATTTTTATTTATCATACTTGGATTTAGAGGTTTTTTTTAATAATTTTATATATTTGTGTAAATGCTTATTTTGATGAAAATGCTCCTCATTTGGGCCAAAACAAATGAATTAGTAATGTTGCTTTATTTATTTGACATTCATCTTTGTTATGAATTTGATTTGAGACTTTCTATAATATTCAAGTCTTATTTTGTAGTGAATTTAGTTTAAAATTGAGTTTTCCCTTATTATAATGTTTTAGTGAATTTATCTTATATTATGTATTTTAATATTTATTAGTTTAGCTCTTAAAAATTATTTAAATTTAATTAAATTTATTATTTTGAGTTGCTTAAATGATGATTTTCAAGTTAATTTTGTAGTGATTATTTTTTAAGAATAGAAAAAAAATAATATATAAGAGAAAGATCTAATAAAAATATTAAAAAAATAATTTTTTAAAATGATCGGTTGAACCGATTGAACCAAACCCCGTGACCAAAACGGGTCAATCAACGGGCTGGGTTTTAAAACATTGGCTTCAGCACACCTGACACTATAATAACTTACAGCCAAATAATAATCCTTAGCCTAAAGTCATTACTCCCCAAGGATCCTTTATAGATAAACCGATGAGCCATCTTTGATATCTATCTAAAGCCACGGAGATTGAGAACTTCTCTATGTTGATGATCCACTCAACATTTTAGAAATGAAAATTTTGAAACTTAAGTTTTTATGGTTGAAAATCGAAGTCTCCACTTATTCAAATTATAAGGTAGTACAATTCATCTAAAAATGGTCTATGCACCTTATAGAGATACTTATAGGAAAACTTTTTCCTTACAAAATATATGTGTAGCCAAAGAGAAGTGAAGAAGGATATATGCGCATCTAGAACTTTATATGTCATGAATTTTTGGTGGTGTTGCTCTATAAATTTTGTAATGTTTTTACTTGATAAAGTTCACATGTTGTTACAAAATAGGTTTTTGAAATTGTTTCTATTTGATAAAGTTTACATGTTCTTATAAAATAGACTTGAGGCGTGAATTTTAGAATAATAATGGTCATTAATGTTAAAGTCATTAAAATTGTGTTAAAATATTATTTTTTTATATTTAATGGTTAAAAATAAATAATAATTAATAAAATAATTAAAATTTATTACTTAATAAATTAAAATTAATTTA